GCTAATGGATATGCTCGACGTGCTATTAACGTGCACACATGCCATAAAGACCCAAAGAGCGGAAGGAAAATCCAAAGGGTAAACATCGGTAGTCGCAGCAGACCCTAGAGTCGGCTATCGACTGTCGACTGTTGGGTGTCGGGAGTCGGCATTCGGCAGTCGGGAGTCGGCACTTGTTGTTCCCTGCTCCTGCAGCCGGCTGCCATAGGCCATAAATACATAGATAAATACATTGAACTCTTCTGCTGGCGTTGCTTACATAACGCGCGACCCTCCTTCATTTTGAATATGTCAAAAATCTGTCAGAATATAAATAAGTCGCCCTCCGAACTGCATCTGTATCCGTATCCGTACTCATATCAGTATCTCAGTCTGTGCCTGTATCTGTACCTGCTGCATCTGTATCTGCAGCTCGATTTGTTTATGCATCCGTGCCTGCATCTGTATTTGTAACTGGATTCATAACAGTAATTGTAGCTATATTTGAAAGGTGTCCCCCTTGTCTGATACTGTATCTATATACATATATCTGTATCTGCATTCCTAACTGAATTTCAATCTGTATCTGTATCTGCATCTGTACCTATATCAGTATCTAAAATTGAATCTCCACTTTCATTCTCATCTGCATCTGAAACCGTAGCTGAAATACTATCTGTATCAGTATTCGTGTCTGTATCTTTATCGGTACCTCTACCTGTATCCGCATGTATCTGTATATCTGTTAGTATCTGCATATATCACAATTTTTGTAGTATCTACATCTGTATTTGCATTCGAATTCAAATCTTCATTTCGATCTGCGTTTACTATATACGAGATACATATATTCATAGACACTCAGACGTGTATCTGCATATGCTTTAAGCTTGAATCTATACTTGTATATTAATTTGTATCTATTATGTGTATAACAAAATTCAACAAAATTTATATATATTTTTATTCACACAAATACATATATCAACATATTTTTCAATCTATTTCTGCATCTGTTAGGAACAGCATCTGCTAAAGCTATTAAGATATTGCTTGCCAATCGATCGCCTGACATTTGACATTTGTTAAAACATGCATAAATATAAGCATGCATACATAATATACATATATATAGATATATTTGTGTCTGCATATGCATTCGAGCACTCATATATATATATATGTGTACATATATAGCAACTGCTGCCCTCACATCATTCGGATCTTTTGTTTGTTTTGGCCAGAGATCTGCGAATCATCGTTTGTTGTTGCAGCTGAAGCGCTCACAACTTGAAAATATACCCAGTAACCAGTGAAAGGGCGTGAAATCGCTTAAATCTTTATCCATTACAATAAATATATTGCTTGATTTTTTAAAATATTTTACTTTTTACATTTCTTAGTCAAATATTCATTCATATTCTTCTGTTTTAAAATGATCTCATTATCATACTACAGCGTATCATATGGTCCAGTATACCCATTTATTTATCTTATTTATTTGCAACTTTTGATAAATGATTTGCAAATTGTTTTTAGGATTGTCTGTCCCACTTCCAAATTCTAAAGCTCATTTTGAGTAGCTTGAGGAGCGAAACAAAGAAATGTTTCTGCCCGAAAACTAATTCGAAAAAAAAAATACGGACTTTGCATTCGGGGTATTCCATGTGCTGAGAAATGAAAATAAATCGCGCAACAGCTGTCAGCACAAGCTAAAAACATTTTAGATGTTTTTCAAATGTAAGAAATAGAATTTTTCGTGGCTCAGTTGTTAGTTGCAAAATACGTTGTTTACATTCTTTTATAAGAATACCTGTTGCTACACTGTAAAGGAAATACGTCAATTATATTTACTGCTAATTATATGAAATGGGCTTTGATATATGAACTACAGTAAAGGCTGATTATATATATTCTGGGATATTTCGAATGGTAGTCATTAGGATATATAAAGTATTGCATGGATCTATGTGGAGATAAGAAAGATCAGAGGACACTTTTCAGGTATACTTTTATGCATTTTCGAATTTGAAGAGGAAGACGTGCTATTTAGCTTGAAGTTAGTTTGAGGCCCAACCATGATCTACAGAGCATATTCTACTTCATAAAGTGTATTATTTGATCGTAGGGTATTTAGAGTTCTATGCTCACAGCAATTATATACATACACATACATATTATATACATACATCTCGTTTTGTTTGGCTTCTACAATTGTTTTGTATTGATTTGATAATAAAATTTCGCAAGATACACTCACACACACACACACAATCAATACACCCACACAGTCAGACACAGACACTAGCTGAGAAGCTCTAAAGATTTCCACTAAATCGTTGTTGAAACAACACTGATCAGTCAGCGTTTTTGTCTCTCTGTTGTTGATGTTGTTGTTGTTATTGTTGTTGTTGCTCATGGCGCGTTTCATTAAATTGTTGCTTTTTTTTTGCTCATGGAAACGTTTTAATGGCTTGTCGCGCGTGGAATTTACACAGCAATAAGCAGAAGAGTGGGAGCGTGGTACGGGACAGAGAGAGAGAAAAACAAAAGCCAAAGCAACAACAACAGCAACAATAACAATTCAAGTAATACTAATCAACAAAAACAACAATAATCATAAAAAAGTTGTGAGCATTCAGTTGACATTTTAATAATGTCTGTCTACATGCGGTTGTTGTTGTTGTTGCTGTTGTTGCTGTAGTTATTGTTGCTGCAATTGTTGTTGTTGTTGTTGTTGAACTGAAAGAATATATGAAAATATTTGAAATTGTTGCTTAAAAGATTTCAAAAATCAATTTCTCAATATTATTTCTGGCATTTATTTTGCGCAATTCAATTTTATTTTTATTTTTTTTTTTTGGAAGCTTGCACTAGAGCGGAAAAAGCCGACATACATATATATGTATTTGTATATATTAATATATATTTGCGCTCATGAACATACAGTACGATAGAGCACTAAATCATCATGATAAATGTAATATTTTTATACATATCTATTTCAAGCGAATATAAAGATTTTATATATTCATCTTGATGAGTTTGTTGCAAACTTAGGAACATGTCCACATAGGGTTTAAGACAGATAATTATTAATTATAATTTAAAAAAAAAAAAAAACGTTTTTTTATTAGAATAACTAAAATGATGGACAATCGAAAATTCATTAAAATACAAAGTATTGGCTGTTAAAAATGCAGCACTATCATTTTAATGAACACAAATACATATGTATATATGGGTCTTTTTTATAGGACTTTATTTTGTAATTGCTATTACATTCTTAAAACACTTTATCACTTAAAAACACTTTTATTGCATTAGATATGGATTAATTATTATAAGCAAACTCCTTAATGTTTATTTGGCAGCTTTAGCTTTTCAATAGGACTGCTTTATAGTATATGAAATTTGAATATTGTATTTCTCTGACAGAGTGTCTTAGAGTAAGTTTGCAGCTTTTCTCTACATACATATACCATATTGCAGCTATCAAATGCTTCGCTTTACTTTTTGCTTTTGGCAAACATTTCTGGCGACAGCCGCCAGCTGTTGGCCTAAAAATAAAAGAATTTTGTTCGCAGCAGCTACAGCATTGGCCAGCAAAGGGTGGTTCAGCGTGTAGCTAATAATATAGCATGATTTGCAGATACCCTGTAGTTGAATGTTGATATTTGTGCTCGTCTGTACTGACACATCACACTGGCTTCTGGGCATCAAGTAGCTTAGCTAACTTTAGCATGATATTTATATTAAATTCTTCTAGTTCAACAACTGGTTAAACGAGAAACGCTTTCAAGACAAAGTTTTGTTATTTATGAAATTATAATAAAAATTAACGAATTTAAGAGCAGCAAATAATGCAAAGATTTATAAATTTGTTATATGGCACTCCAGTTGTTCTACTCATGGATATAGCACACAAAGCTTACGATCTTGTATGATCTTATTTTGACTTCAACGATTTGCTTTATTCGAGCTGTTGGCCACATACAGACCTTTAGCTTTTTTCTATAAATGGCTTAGCCAAGTTGAGCTGAATAAGCCAAGTCCTACCTACAAACTTGACAACTTTCTTAAGAGAATTCCAACTTTTCTAATCTTTATGTTTGTACAAAGTATTCCATTGATATACTGATCAGACTGTCTTATTATAAAGACTCATATAAGAACTTTGAGCAATTTCGATATTATCAATCAATCAATATCAATTGATGGATCAATCAATTTGCTTCGTACAAACCGGGCGAAAAGCTCTGTCTACACTGACTGACCCATTTTACGGCTTGCCTTTAACTGTCTTCTTCTCCCTCTCCCTCTCTTTCTCTCTTCCCCCTTTGTTCGCTCGCGCTCCTTCTGTTTGCTGAGCGGTTAGTTCAGTTTCAATTAGCACAAAGCTGAAAATGCAACATGATTTAAATTGTTGTCGCTGTCAGTTGTCAGACAAGAGCGATAACAACAGCGACAGGGCGCAGCACGCCTCAGTCGGTCGCACCAAAATGTATCTTATAGATACATGTCTCTGACATAATAATGTGCGACTCTTATGCTCGGCTGCTGCTGCTGTTGTTGTTGTTGTAGCTGTCTTTATTTGTTGTTGTTGTTGTTGTGGCTGCTGCCTCAATGTCTCTGCAGTTGCCTTTGCGTCTCTCAGGCTGGCATGTGTTTGGTTGGACTACTTGGAAATGCTCAAGCACTGCTTATCCCAATATATTTATATACCTATATAAAGATATGTACAGATATATGCATGTATATATATAGAGATATGTAGTCTTGGTAAATCTGTTAGTGCGCTAAAAATACGCTACACTTGATTTTCACGTTGCTGTTGTTGTTGTTGCTGTTTTAGCTGACTGTGCTTTTCCTACTCACTCGACTCTGCTCGACTCGAGTCGTTCTTTTAACTGCCAGCAGTTGTCGCCGTAGCAGCTGCTGGTAGTTCATTTCACTTGCACGTAGCCTGATGCTGGCCAAGATCAGGAGCAGCACCAAGAGCAGCCACAATTCACAGCAGATCGAGACTGAAAGCAATGTCAGGTCAGGGACATTTGAAATATTTGCTTTAAGTTTCAAGTGGCATAGTTAAATACTGGACTCGTTTCTTCGAAATTTCCACAATAAAAAGAAAAATAATTATAAATATCCAAAAATATTTTTTATATGTGAGAATAATTTAAAAGAAATTTTTATTTAATATATTTTTAGATTGAACGCCAATTTGTAAAAGATTTGAAAGGAAATTACTATGAATACAGATAACTCAAGAATAGCTCATGTATAAATTACTAGACATTGCTATGAATTTATGAGTTGGGAGAAAGAGCAAAAGAATTTGTAAATAGAATTTTAAAAAATATATTATTTATTGTGAATACGTCATGAAGTCAAAAATTAATTAATTATTATTA